CATACAAATGTTACATAACATTATTAGAAAGTTTGACTAATTAGGCACAGAGACAGATGGATAGCATTCTTCATTAGGAAACAGAAGATATAGATTATATAACAATACCAGAGGGTAAATAATAAATGCTAAGATTTTAATTTTAACAATGTCATTGACTTTATAAGTAGAAATCCAAAAGGTTATATTTTCTAGGCAACTGAATGACACTGGAAATATCTAGCCACACACAAATTATATGTGTCTTTTTCATTAATTTATAAAATAGAAAATGCAAGCAAATTACTATTATTATTATTATTATTTGAGACTCAGTCTCACTCTGTGGCCAGGCTGTAATGGTGCAATCTCAGCTCACTGCAACGTTCGCCTCCTGGGTTCAAGCGATTATCCTGCCTCAGCCTCCAGTAGCTGGGACTACAGGCGGCTGCCACCGGGACTACAGGTGCCCAATACTGCACCCAGCTAATTTTTGTATTTGTATTAGAGATGCGGTTTCACCATTTTGGCCAGGTTGGTCTCAATCTCTTGACCTCATGATCTGCCCACCTCGGACTACCAAAGTGCTGGGATTAAAGGTGTGAGCCACTGTGTCCGGACACAAATTATTTTTATAAAGTCAGGCTCTGAAGTCAACATGGCAGAGTAAAAAAAAAAAAAAAAATTCAATAATACGCTACAAAGGCATCATGGTTACTGGAGTGAAAAGATCTGAATTCAAGTGAATATTTCTATCCATGATAACTTGATTTTTTTAAAAACAGAAACAAACAACAACAACAAAACAGTAATTTTGGCTGTATCCAGTTCAATTTAGTTCACTGCAGTAAGTTATATTTTCAGAAATACATGTAAAACATAAGATGAACTTGTTTTTTTTTTTTTTTTTTTGAGATAGAGTCTCACTCCATCACCAGGCGCCAGGCTGGAGTGCAGTGGCACGACCTCAGCTCACTGCAATCTCTACCTCCTGGGTTCAAGCAATTCTCCTGCCTCAGACTTCCAGTAGCCGGGACTACAGGTGCACGCCACCACGCCCAGCTAAGTTTTATATTTATTAGTAGAGACAGTGTTTCACCATGTTGGCCAGGATGGTCTCGATCTCTTGCCCTGTGATCCACCCACCTCAGCCTTCCAAAGTTCTGGGCTTACAGGTGTGAGCCACCATGCCTGGCCAGGATAAACTTTAAAGTATCAAATAAATTAACCTTTACAGTTACTATTACCACATGGCATATTTGAGAGAGATGCATATTCTGGGTGAAGAAGCTTGGGATATCTCATAAAGTGTTGTGGATATTCGCAACTTTAGAAAAAATGCTACATATTCTTAAATATTTTAATGTAGACAATTCAAAATTCTCAAGAATTTACAAAAACACTTAAAGTGCAAAACAGAGTTAAAGGAAAATACAAGAACCTCACAGAACAGAAGTAAATCAAGAGAACAATCCAGAGGAGTAGTAGACCTAAGAAGCATGTGCCTAATTCGGATAGTGACTGTTCACAAGGATATCAGATCTATGCGGTTGTTCATCTTGCTCCCAGGGAAAATAAAATAAACACAAAAATAACAGAACCACGAAAATCCAAACTGTAATATTTTCCAAAAGTAAGAAGCAAATTAGAAACCGATGGACAAAAAGAAATGAGGAAGTATGCAGAAAAAAAAAATTCAATAACTTTTCTTATTGAAACTATGTTTAAAATATTTACATAAATAGATTACAAAATTAATATTATTTTTGTGAAAAGAACAAGAAGCGATAAAATTTAAGGCCAGGTGTAGTGGTTCATGCACTTTGGAAGGCTGAGGAAGGCGAATTGCTTTAGCTCAGGAGTTGGAGAAGAGCCTGGGCTACAGCTCTATAAAAAATGTGAAAACTGGGGCCGGGCGCGGTGGCTCAAGCCTGTAATCCCAGCACTTTGGGAGGCCGAGGCGGGTGGATCACGAGGTCAAGAGATCGAGACCATCCTGGTCAACATGGTGAAACCCCGTCTCTACTAACAAAATACGAAAAATTAGCTGGGCATGGTGGCATGTGCCTGTAATCCCAGCTACTCAGGAGGCTGAGGCAGGAGAATTGCCTGAACCTAGGAGGTTGCGGTGAGCCGAGATGGTGCCATTGCACTCCAGCCCGGGTAACAAGAGCAAAACTCTGTCTCAAAAAGAAAAAAAAGAAAAAAAAAAGCGAAAATTAGCCAGGCATGGTGGTATGCACCTGTAGTTCCAGCAACTTGAGAGGGTGAGGTGGGAGGATCCCTTGAGCCTGGGAGGTGGGAGTTGTAGTGAGCCAATATCACGTCACTGCACTCCAGCCTGGGTAACAGAGTGAGACTGTCTCAAGTTAAAAGCATATTTGAACAACAGCAAAAAAGAATATCAAGTTAATACACAGTGTGTGAGTGTGAGTTAACCTATAAATTGAAATGATAAGAAAACTAATGAACTGGAATATTGAGTGTAATATATACAGCCAACTACTATAAAAAAAGACAAAATTTTGTAAAATATAAATATAGTTTTAACTAGATGAAAACTATAAGGAGGATTAAATAATGCCTATTTTTTTCACTACAATAAAAAATATAAGTAAAAATATTAATGGTAATTTACAAATTTCTAGGTTCAAACTAAACATAAGCCCTTGAATTCAAAATCGCAGTGTTTCAAAAAAAGATAAAAAAAATACTTAATAGAAATAACATTCAAACTTCCTAACAGCAAGAGAAAGAGGAAATCTAAAAGTGAGCAAGAGAGATAACTTAGAAAGGTAAAATCAAAACACCCACAGTCTGTAGAGCCAGAAATCAAAATAAACATGAAAAGTGCTGAGAGAATTTGCTACTGTGAATAGCAATCGCAATGAACGTGCCAGTGCATGTTCCTTTTTGGTAGAATAATTTAATTTTCTTTGAATATATACCCAGTAATGAGATTGCCGAATCAAATAGTAGTTCTGTTTTAAGTTCTTTGGGACATCTTCAAACTGCTTTCAATAGTGACTGAACTAATTTACATTCTCATCTGCAGTATGTAAGCATTCCTTTTTCTCCACAACCTTACCAACATCTGTTAGATTTTGGCATTTTAATAATAGACCTTCTGACTGTTGTAGGACAGTATCTCATTGCTTCTACTGTCTTTAATTGTAATAATTTTCGCTATCTCTAACCAACTCTAATCTATTACCAGCCATCATTACTATGACCGTGTTGCTTAATCCAGTCAGTATTCTTAGGTCTTGATTTGCTTGTCCTCTTGGAAACTTTCCACTCCCTTTATAACTTCTTTGTCCAATGTACAAAGGAAAAAAGCTACTCACCAGAATCTTATGCCCAAAAGAGTATCTTTCAGAAATAAAGGAGAAATAAAGACATTTCAGATAAATAAAAACTGATGCAATTTGTTGCCAGCAGACAGACATTATACAGAAAACACTAAAAGCAGTTCTTAGACTGTATGTGGTGGTTCACACCGGTAATCTTAGCGCTTAGAGACCCTGCGTAGTACCCTGAAAGTCTCCACCACCCGGAATTCCCTCAACACATCCCCTGCAAGGTCCTGTGATGACCTCCCTCACTTGTGCACAGTTCCCCACTCCCAGATCCATGTCCGATTTGCCAGTGCCCTTTAGACTCCTTTTCCCAAGGCCCCAAGATCCCATGCAATCGGTGAGGCATCAGGATTTAAGGCGAAGGAGAAAACTGCCCAGGGGATGAGCGCAAGTGCCTCCTGTGAAGGTATTTGGAGGTGGAGATGCGGCACAGTTGGTGAGTCGAGAAGGCGCTGGGATGACCATATTGCCACCCTTAGTCATTTGAGAGTTTGGGCAGGACGGGCTGCACTCCCAGGCAGGGCTGTTCCCTGCTCAAAGGCCTTGTGAAGGCCTCAAAGAAAGCTAAGTGCTCTCAACCTGGGGAAAAAAAAAATTGAGAAGACTTCCTGAAAGAGGCTGCAATCCCAGGTGAATTGCGGGTGCAGAGAAGAGACTGAAAAGTGCTGCAGGCAGGGGGCACGGCTTGTATAAAAGTGTGGATGTGAGACTGTCCTGGGCAAAAGAAAAGGTGCCCCAGAGTTCCTTTCTCGTCCCCTCTGTATGTGATGCTTTCTGACTGCCCATGGGAGCCTTCCAAAGTGGCATAGTGCTTCCCACTGAAGACAGGACTCCCGGGGCCCCAAGAGGGGAGCAATAGCCTGTAAGTCACACAGTAGTAGAGCTGGAAGGCTCGAGGCTCCATTCTGATAGGCTGGGCAGGAGCAGCATTGTTCTAGGTCGGTGTCGAGTGTGGGAAGCAGTGCGCATCCGCCAGGCAGGCCAGTGTTCCCTGACCACCTGGGACCCAAAACCCTGGAGTGACATCTAGGCTCCTCAGAGGCGGGAGAGGTGCCTTCCAAAAGTGCGCCCTACTCCCTCCTGTTCCTTTAGCCAGCACCCAGGTCCCCGGCTCACAGCTCTCCCTCCTCCAGCCCAGACAACCTTGGGTCCCTAATCACCAGTAGCATCAGCCTTTCTGCAGGTGCGGGCGCACGATCGAGTGGTTGTCCAGCCTCCGCGTGGTAGTAGAAGGCGCGCTCCCGGGAGCTCCTGCTCAGGCCGCCTGCTGGGCGCGTAGGTAGCAGAGCTTTTCTTGCGGCCGCATGGTTAGCGGCGCCAGCTGTGCCTCATCCGCCAGATTCACTTTGATATGGAAGTGCTTCCAGCGTGCCAGCACAGGACACAGCCCCTCCACTGTGCCCAACCGGCTTAGTCTCTGTCTCCGGTCCCGCAGCCCTGTGCGCCGTCCTAATCTGGCCCGCCGCCCGCCCCCACATCCCATTGCCACCTTTTTTAAAGCTCAGGCTTCCCGCTCAGAAGACCAGAGGTCAGGATGGTTGTAAAATCTGAAACTTTCTTTTTTTTTTTTTTTTTTTTTTTGAGACGGAGTTTCGCTGTTGTTACCCAGACTGGAGTGCAATGGCACGATCTCGGCTCACCGCAACCTCTGCCTTTTGGGTTCAAGCAGTTCTCCTGCCTCACCCTCCCAAGTAGCTGGGATTACAGGCACGCGCCACCATGCCCAGCTAATTTTTGTATTTTTAGTAGTGACGGGGTTTCACCTCGTTGACCAGGATGGTCTCGATCTCTTGACCTCCTGATCCACCTGCCTCGGCTTCCCAAAGTGCTGGGATTATAGGCGTGAGCCACGACGCCAGGCCTGAAACTTTCAAATAGTTGCCATTGTATTATTTTAATTTGAGAGTAACATATGTGTACTCTGTAAGTGTATACATACACACACAAATATAATTCAAAAGTGACATAATCATACGTGCAAGGTTAAATGCAAATGTTCCTCAGGCAGGGCCAGGTCCCAGCACCAGGAGGAAGCTCTGAAAACGCTGCAGCCAAAAACCTGCCTCTCTCCGCTCATTCAGCGCACGTTCTGGTTACATCGCCTGTCACTCAGGGCCTGAAGGGGTGGAGCCTGGTGCCCCAGCTAATCCGTGATGGCAGCATGAAAACTGTTCAATCAGGTTCACAGACAGAGAGGAAGGGGCGGCCTTGCAATCTGGAAGGGTGTGGTCCCCTGGGTTCAGTTCTTGTGTCCATTGTTCGTTCTTCTCTGCTCCAGAACTCCTAAGTGAGGCTACCACGGACCCTGTTATCCTGTGACCTTGTAGGTACTGGGAGATCCCTAGGGAGGACCCTGGAACCTTCAGAGGCTGGAAAACGGTCAGTACACAGGGTGGACATCCTGAGAAGGGGGGGAGGCTGTTTGAATCTGGCGGGAACCGGCTGCGGTGAAATCTGGGCCTCTTGGTCAGCTCTGGAGTCTGCAGACCCGAGTTGCCGCTGGCATAGCTTGGCCCTCCGTTCCCTCCGTGCCCTCCGTGCCCTCCGTTCCCTCCGTTCCCTCCGTCCCCTCCGTCGCAGATTCGGGGCTAAAACAGCAGCCAAAACCCCGAGCGTCTTGCCCGCTTCCTTAAACGCAAAGTACTCCCCAGCCTAGAGCGCTTTCTGAGTAGCTCTGTGCCACCGCAAGTCTCTTTCAGATTGTGTGGGGACGATTGGAGGGAATAAGGGGAAAGGAGTTCCCACATGGAGTCCGGAGTTTTACCGGAGAAGAAGTAGTGGTCCGTGGGGCCCCAGTCCCACATTTCTCCTCTTAAAAATTAAATTGAGGATTTTTTCTTTTGAGACAGTGTCTCACGCTGTCACACAGACTGGAGTGCAGTAGCATAATCAGGGCTCACTGCAGCCTCCACCTCCTGGGCCCAGGTGATTCTTCTATCCCAGACCCTAAGTAGCTGGGACTGCAAGCGTGCGCCACCACACTTGGCTAAGCTTAGTAATTTTTATAGAGATGGAGTTTTGCTATGTTGCTCAGGCTCTGGAACTCCTGAGCCTAAGTGATCCACCCACATTGGGCCTTCCTTAGTGCTGGGATTACAGGCCTGAGCCATTGCCCCGGCCTAAGTGGAGGCATCTTTAGAAAGTTAAGCAGTGATATAATTTGAATGTGTTTCCCAGCCAAAATCTCAAATTAAAATGTAATCCTCAATGTTGGAGGTTGGACCTGGTGGGAGGTGAATGGATAATGGGAGTGGATTTATCATGAATAGTTTAGCACCACTTCTCTTGGTATTGTCTCTTCAATAAAGTTTTCGGGATATTTTGTCATTGAAAGTGTATATCACCCCTATCACAAAGTCAGGAGAGCGAAAGCATCCTGGCCAACATGATGAAACCCGGTCTCTATTAGAAATACAAAAATTAGCCGTGCATGGTGGTATGCACCTATAGTTCCAGCTTCTCAAGAGGCTGAGGTAGGAGAATCACTTGAACCTGGGAGGTGGAGGTTGCAGTGAGCCGACATCAGGCCACTGCACTCCAACCTGGGCAAACCAGAGCCAGACTCCATTTCAAACCAAAAAAAGCTGTATACCACTGCTCATCCCCCTTGCCCTAGTTGGAAGCTCCTGCTTTGCCTTCCACCATGATTTTAAGCTTCCTGTGGCCTTCCCAGAAGCACATGCTGGTGTTTTTTTTTTTTCCTGTACAGGCTGTGGAAACATGAACCAGTTAAAGCAATGTTCTTATAAATTATCCAGTCTGATGTATTTCCTTATAGCAATGCTGGAATGAATTAATACAAAACATTTATTTGCCCAAACAGCAATTTATGAATCAGAGAGCACTCAGCTGTGGTTTGTTGTTGGTGGGCCCAAAGGTGGGCCTGGAAGAAAAGGCATGAGGAAGAAAGAAGCATGAGGAAGCAAACCAGAGTCAATGTTGGTTTGGGTACAGTTATATATTGCCTTTGCACGCATCAGGTGGAAATGTCCTGGTTATGTAGTCAGAGCTTTATTGGCAGGTTGTGATTGGTTAAGCGTAAGTTTTGTTTTTCTCTAAGTTAATAATTCACGGGAAATTTCTTTTTCCTCAGGTAGAATCCCAGGGCACTATGGCCATTTTAGTCAAATTGTGAGCCATTTAATTGTTTTAATGCTTCACAGCGGGGCTGGTTTTCCCTGCGTTTTTCAAATGTATGGCAAGCAGGGTCTCCAAGTCCATACTTGTTCTCCTAGCCTAGCTGTTCTAGGGCCTCTAGAAAATTCTGAATTTCCAGCCAGGTGAGGTGGCTCATGCCTATAATCCCAGCACTTTGGGAGACTGAGTCGGGTAGATCATGAGGTCAGGAGAATGAGATCATCCTGGTCAGGAGAATGAGACCTCTTGAACCCAGGAGGTGGAGATTGCATTAAACCAAGTTGGCTCTACTAGAGCGAGACTCTGTCTCAAAAAAAAAAAAAAAGGAAACTAAATCTCCAATTTATGACTCACTTTCCCAAATGCCAATTATCCCTCTCCAAGTCGAAACATTATTAACTATTAATTCTTTATTTGGTTTTAAAACAAACACAAAATTTTAATTGTTTATTTTTGTTTTATAGGGTGGTGGTTGTCTCTTACTTTTCTGTTTGTGAACATTTCACATGACAGAAAAGTAAAGAATAATTACCTGACAATACTGTAACAAATCTTTGCACCTCTCTGTTTATCTTGCTTAGGCACACACCTTAACAAAATTTCTTTTGGTTGAGGTTGCTTTTTGGTATCTTTGCAGGGTGATGTGTCCTCAGCCACTCTTCTGTATTTTCCTGGTTCTGGGTGTTACAACTGTCTGGGGGTGACCCAAGATGCTCACAGTGGCCCTGTCTTTTGGAGTGTCTGGTGAGTATCAGCTCTCTCCCAGTAGAGAGCCTGAGGTGTGGGGCGGGGCATCTTAGGGAAACAGCTAGATGCCCTTTTGCAGAGAGCAGTTTTCTGATATACATTTTCTCTAAAAAGCTAACTGTTTTGAATATTAAGATTTTTTTTTCTCTCAGTCCCAGCTTCCTTTCCTGGCAGACACTTTGGTGCTGGTACTAAGGAGAAAAGGCACACATGCATCTTGTCCTCTGGTTTCTCTCAGGCTTGTGAAGGGAGAATAACTCTCCCAAAGTGCAAGAAAAACCCACCTTAATGAGATAGTGTATGAACTTGCAAAGGAAATACACATCAGGCACACAGGAGGCAAGTGCAGTGCCTTCTGAGAGCGTGGTGTTCAAGTACCTTAGCAGGATGTGGGTTGGAGAATCTCTCAACTGATTGACACATGAGTCCAATATGTTTGTGTTCCACTCAGCACCACCTCTCCCTGTGTTTGTCATCTTTAATATATTTGTTCACTTATTTCCATTTTTATTAACTGTATAATGTATTTTGTCATTAGAGCTTAAAAGATAAAAAAACACAAAGAGGAAAGAAAGGGATAGATTTCAGAGAGAATATCTTGTTTGATATTCCATCGGATAAAAATTTTCATTTACGCTCTTTGATTTCGCGGAGAGGTGAGTCGGAGCTGCATTTCCAGACTGATCTTTGTTGCCCACGGAATGGGGAGATTCACAAATATAGGGGAGACGCTGGATGCCTGGCAGTGCCTCTGCCTGGCGAAGCCAGCAGCCGGGGTGGTGGCGGCTGGCCCTGCCCATCGCTCCCACAGGACGTGCTTGTCCGGGTGCCCTGTTGAGCCGGCAACCTGAGACTTGAGAAGGCTGGACTTGAGACTGAGGAAGACTTGGACAGTGGGCCTGCCCAGGGGATTGCAGGGACAGAGCGTTCGGGCTCGCCCGGTGGGACGAACAAGACCGCAATTTCAAGCGATCCCCGTGCAGTCAGTCAGAGACGCTCTGTGGGGGAGGGGCATCCACCATTACCGAGGCAACCCACCACAACTACACGCCCACTGTTGAGGCAGCCTGCCATTGCCGAGGCAACCTGTCCCTACTGAGATACACGCCCACTGCTTATGCAGCCTGCCATTGCCGAGGCAACCCGCTACAACAGAGAGACTCCGCCTCAGGGTGTGGCGGAGACCACAGCAGAACAGCAGAGCCTGACCTAACAGGGCGAGCCTCACAACAGCAGGGCAGAGCCTCGGCAGGCAAACAGTGGCTAGTCTGCCTCCTAGCTGGGCAGGACATCTCAAAGAACATCCAAAAATAAAGCCCAAACCCCCCAACACAGAGCATATGAGAAAGAAAGGGTTTTTTTAAATGACCTCTGTTGCAGCACAATTAAACATAGCAGCCTAACAGCCCTGAATGAACAACAGAGATCACAGCTCAGCAATTGAGCTCCTATAAAGTACAGACTGTCTCCTCAAGCAGCTCCCTGACCCCTCTATATCCAAAAGACTGACATTTGGCAGGCATCATTCTGGGACAAAGATAGCAGAAAAAGAAACCGGTAGCATCCCTCACTGTGCCACAGCTGCTAGAGGTGCACCCCAGACAAGCAGGGCCTGAAGTGGACCTCAGAAGTTGTACAGCAAAGGGGCTAGACTGGTAGAACGAAAACCAAGTACAGAAATACTTCATCATCAACAATCTGGGTGTCCACTCAGAGACCCAATCGAAAGGTCAGCAACTACGCAGACAACAAGCAGATAAATCCACCAAGATGGGAAGAAACCAGCGAAAAAAGGAGGAAAACACCCGAAATCATAACACCTCACCTCCTAGAAAGGACCAAAACTCCTCACCAGCAAGGGAACAAAGCTGGATGGAGAATGACTGTGAAGAAATGACGGAATTAGACTTCAGAAGGTGGATAGTGAGAAACTTTTGTGAGCTAAAAGAACATGTTTCAAATCAATGCAAAGAAACTAAGGAACTTAAAAAAATATATGAGGAAATGATAACAAGAATGGATAACTTAGAGAGGAATATGAATGAATTAAAGGAGCTGAAAAACACAATATGAAAACTTCATGAAGCATGCACAAGTTTCAATAGCCGAATTGACCAAGCAGAAGAAAGAATATCTGAAGTCGAAGACCAACTCAATGAAATAAAATGAGAAACCAAGATTAGAGAAAAAAGCGCAAAAAGGAATGAACAAAGTCTCCAAGAAATGTGGGACTATGTGAAAAGACCTAACCTATGTTTGATAGGTGTACCAGAAGAGGACAAAGAGAATGAATCCAAGCTGGAAAATACTCTTCAGGACATCATCCAGGAGAATTTCCCCCACCTAGCAAGACAGGCCAGCACTCAAATACAGGAAATACAGAGAACACCACAAAGATATTCCGCAGGAATAGCAACCCCAAGGCACATATTCGTCAGATTCAACAAGGTTGAAATAAAGGAGAAGATACTAAAGGCAGCCAGAGAGAAAGGTCGGCTCACCCACAAAGGGAAGCCCATCAGACTCACAGCAGATCTCTCGGCAGAAACACTACAAGCCAGAAGAGAGTGGGGGCCAATATTCAACATTCTTAAAGAAAAGAACTTTCAACCCAGAGTTTCATATCCAGCCAAACTGAGCTTCAGAAGTGAAGGAAAAATAAAATCCTTTGCGAACAAGCAAGTACTCAGAGATTTTGTCACCACCAGGCCTGCTTTACAAGAGCTCCTAAAAGAGGCACTACACATAGAAAGAAACAACCAGTACCAGCCATTCCAAAATCACACTAAATGCTAAAAAGCATCAACATAATGAAGAATCTACAAAAACTAATGGGCAAAACAGCCACTTAGCATCAAAATGGCAGTATCAAATTCACACATAACAATATTAACCTTAAATATAAATGGACTAAATGTACCAATCAAAAGACAAAGACTGGCAAATTGGATAAAAATCCAAAACCGATCAGTGTGCTATATCCAGGAAACCCATCTCACATGCAAGGATACACAAAGGCTCAAAATAAAGGGATGGAGAAAGATTTACCAAGCAAATGCAGAGCAAAAAAAAGCAGGAGTTGCAATTCTCATCTCTGATAAAATAGACTTTAAAGCAACAAAGATCAAAAGAGACAAAGAAGGCCATTACATAATGGTAAAAGGATCGATACAATAAGAAGAGCTAAGGATCCTAAACATATATGGACCCAATGCAGGAGCATCCAGATACATAAGGCAAGTTCTTAATGACTTACAAAGAGACTTAGACTCCCACACAATAATAGTGGTAGACTTTAACACTCCACTGTCGATATTAGACAGATCAACCAGACAGAAAATCAACAAGGATATCCAGGGCTTGAACTCAGACATGGAGCAAGCAAACCTGATAGACATTTACAGAACTCTCCACCCCAAATCCACAGAATACACATTCTTCTCAGCACCACATCACACCTACTCAAAAATTGACCACATAATTGGAAGTAAAGCACTGCTCAACAAATACAAGGCAACTGAAATCATAACAAACAGCCTCTCAGACCATAGTGCAATCAAGATAGAACTCAGAATACAGAAACCAACTCAGAACCGCACAGCTTCATGGAAACTGAACAACTGGCTCTTGAATGTTGACTGGGTAAACAATGAAATGAAGGCAGAAATAAAGAAGTTCTTCGAAACCAATGAGAACAAAGACACAACATGCCAGAACCTCTGGGACACATGGAAAGCAGTCTCTAGAGGAAAGTATATAGCAATAAGTACCCATATGAGGAGAATGGAGAGATCCAAAATTGACACCCTATCGTCAAAATTGAAAGAGCTAGAGGAGCAAGATCAACAAAACTCAAAACCCAGCAGAAGAAAAGAAATAACTAAGATCAGAGCTGAACTGAAGGAGATAGAGACACGAAAAACCCTTCAAAAAATCAATAAATCCAAGAGCTGGTTTTTTGAAAAGATCAACAAAATAGACAGACCACTAGCCAGATTGATTAAAAAGAAAAGAGAACAACCAAATAGATGCAATAAAAAATGATAAAGGCGAAATCACCACAGACTCCACAGAAATTCAAACCATCATCAGAGAATATTATAAACAACTCTATACACATAAACTAGTAAACCTGGAAGAAATGGATAAATTCCTGGACTCCTGTGTCCTCCCAAGCCTAAACCAGGAGGAAGCTGAAACTATGAATAGACCAATAACAAGGTCAGAAGTCGAGGCAGCAATTAAGAGCCTACCACTCAAAAAAAGCCCAGGTCCAGACGGATTCACAGCCGAATTCTACCAGACACAAAAAGAGGAGCTGGTACCATTCCTTCTAAAACTATTTTAACCAATCCAAAAAGAGGGAAGCCTTCCCAAATCATTTTACAAGACCAACATCATTCTGATACCAAAACCTGGCAGAGACCCAAGAAGAAAAGAAAACTTCAGGCCAATATCCATGATGAACATAGATGCAAAAATCTTCAATAAAATATTGGCAAGCCGATTGCAACAGCAAATCAAAAAACGTATTCATCATGATCAAGTAGGATTCATCGCGGGGATGCAAGGCTGGTTCAACATACGCAAGTCTATCAACGTAATTCACCACATAAACAGAACCAAGGGCAAAAACCACATGATTATCTCAATTGACGCAGAGAAGGCATTTGACAAAATTCAACAGCGCTTTATGCTAAAAACTCTCAATAAACTTGGTATCGATGGAACGTATCTCAAAGTAATAATCCAAGATCTTGGAGATCGATCCAATATGGCCGACCACTAACAGCTCAGGATTGTAGCTCCCAGTGAAAGCCCAGAGAACGAGACGACGCCACACTTTTAGACGAATTTTCATCACTCACCGATCAGCCGATTCCCAGTGGAGGAGCCCCACGGTCGCCAGCACGACTCTTGTGGCTGCCGCAGCGGTTTTGCCGGCATCTCGGCGCAGCAGCTCTTCATGCAGAGCCAGCGGGACTGCTTCCCCTACT